GGCACGTGGGATCTTCCCGGACCAGGGCACGAACCCGTGTCCCCCGCATCGGCAGGCGGACTCTCAACCACTGCGCCACCAGGGAAGCCCCAGAGTGAGTCTTATATTCCTCTGAGACAGCCATGTGGAAATACGGTGCATGCGGGAGAATACACGAGTCCCAAGGGAGGACATGGGCATGTACAGCAATGTGGTTCCTTTCCAAGGGCTGCTCAGGGACAAGCCCCAGGATATTACAGCTCTCTCTCCACGGCCCCTCCCACTTCCTCCTCCTGAACCTTCCTACAAGGGGATTTCATACGGAGATCGCAAGATAGAACTGCTTGCCACGGAAGTCAGACACCTTACATAAGCAAAATTTCAGTCCTTTTTCCCTAAGAGAACAGCAAGAAAAAAAGAAGCTTCAAATCTGGCCGTGGGGATTAAGTGTAGACACTCAGGAGGACTTCCTGGCTCTTAGGGCACGACCCTGGAATGCATTAGTAAGCAGGAGTCTGGGCTCTCCTTTCCCTGAGCTCTCTGAGATGGGGGTGGATTGCAGTCTCTTGAGGATGCCTGGAATACAGTCCTGCCAAGACGCAGGGGATTGGACCTGAGGAACCACCGAAGCTCCCTGGGACCATGTGATTGCTAGTCACGTGAACCCTGTCCACCTGGTAACGATCACTCCATTCATCAAGCATTCCCCACGTGCAGAAGCGGTGCCCAGGGGCTTTACACTTATTCCTTCATTTGATCCTCACAACAGTGCCCCTTGGTGAGCAGGACCCCATGTGAAATAGGCAGACACTGAGGCTCAGAGAGGTTAGGTAACCCAACTGAAACCACACAGGAAATAAGATACACTGCTGGGATTGGCACCCTTGACCATCACCGAAGCCCATACTTCTCCCTTCTCCTCAACCCCATCCCCGCTTTTATTAAAGCGCTCTTAGAAACATTACTAACATGGACTACGGACAGGATAGAAACGATCTGTAACAGCATTTCAATACAAAGTGCATTATAAATATAACAAAAGTTATAACAAATATACTACTGGACACACAGAAGGAAAATTTGCTGTTGTTGACCAGAAAAAAAAAAAACAGGGAGAAAAATCTGTAAGAAACAGAACCATGTAGAAAGAGACAAAAGATAAAGCTCTGTGCATATTTTAAAGGTATTTAATACATTTTGACAAAGGGCCTTTCAGAAACACTCTGGCCGTGTGCACCAGCATTATACAAGGGTTCCTACTTCCCCAACCTCATAAGAAAGAAGTTTCTACTGATTTGTAAGAATTTGTATGTTATATCTGTATGATATATGATCATATATCGATCATATGATACAAACGTATTTCCCTGTTTGTGCTTCGTCTTTATGACGCTTTAGATTCCATTCTAGAAATTCAACTTTAGTAACATAGTTGACAAAGTTGCTGAAATCTATAATTTAAAGCACAAATCAAAGGATCCGTCACCTGGAAAGACATGTCTTTGCAGGATTTTAATTCTCTTCTCCGTGGTTGACAAGCCACCGTGTCTGATGAGTGACAGGAGAGGAACACTCCAAAGGGAAGCCAGGTCTGCCCCGCCCCTGGGGCTCAGTCAGAACGGTCGCCCTCCCAGTGCACCAGCGTTCACTGGCCTCTGCCTCGGCCAGCACCTGCTGTCCTGCCTCCGGGGCCCTAGAGCCACCTGGCGCTGCTGGACCTTTGCTTGAAAGTCCCCATAGCCTCAGGTGGTAGCACAGCACCCAAACCAGAGGGTCGCACAGGAACCTAGCTGCACCCTTCCGGGGACCACACTCCCTCGATACGCATCCCCATGCTCACTCCAGGCCTTTCCCTGAGCCGGTTCCCTGTCATGAAGATACACACACACATGCACAGCACATGTCCCCAAAACAGCAGTTGATCCGAATGAGACCATGTGACTCAGTCCGCTCACAGGCCTGACAACGCAGAGCAGGGAAACTGAGCCCCCCGCTTGCCCTCCACCCCCAAGTGGAAAGAGCGGGAACCAACGGCATGGCACACCTGAAAAACACACTTTTCTTTCCCATCACCCTATATTGTGGGCAAGGGGCACTAGGGAAAAGCTGAGACGCACATGCCCACCTGTCCCCAAATGGCTGCAGACGGGCCAGCCCTTCCAAAGCACCCCACACTTCCCTCTGTGTCACCCCAAGACAGCAGGCAGCTGCTGCAGAGGGACAAGACCCTCTAGGGAAGGAGCAGTGCCCTGGGGTGAGTCCCTCTGCGCTGCCCCCACCAAGCTTTGCTGAAGCAGCTGCTCCTGCCGGGACTTCAGAGCTTACAGTCAGAGGAGCTCTGTGGGTGATGGGTTCCAGTGCCCCAGAAAGAAGCTTCCCCGGGTCGGGGCTGGGCGACTCTGGTCACCAGTCTTCCTGGCTGAACCAAGGGCCTTTCTCTCTCAGCATCGGGGCCTCTGAAGTCCCCTTTCGACCCTGCAACCTTCTCCCTCCCCCTTCCCCGTGCTGCCCAGCTATGCAAACACAGACATGCTTGGGGGAAGAATGGTGCTCATATATAATAACCCTCAAATCTGGCTTCACATGTGGCTATTGTTAGGTAGATTTAAACAGCAATTATGGAGGTACCTCCTTCCTCCTCAGCAACAACCTAGGCCCTTAATCCAGCTAAGACCCAGGGACTTTAGGGTTGAGCTCACCGAGATGAAGGTACCAGCTTAAGCAGCGCCTGCTCCAGGCTGGGGGAGCTGGAACAGGACAACGGCTCTGCCAGCAAAAAAAAAAAAAAAAAAAAGGAAGGTGGGGGCAAAGAAGGGACTGCCTGGCTGAAGTCTCCATGATAACTCAGCTTCCAGAGGATTCCCATGGAAAGTCTGCAGAAATGTTTTAGCTGAGAATTCAAAAAGAAAGGCAACACGGCCCCAGGGCAGCTG